AAATAACATATTTTCCTGAGCTTTGGGATTTGGTGAGAGAAGAAGAGACTGTTAGAGCTGTAGCAATGAAGAACCTTTTTCTGATGGTTTGGCTTGTTGAATTGGTGATATCACTGTTCTTGAAGTATCATTTGCCATCTCTACTTTGTGTGTTATTGCTGCAGCAGTTTCTAGTCGGCCTTATTTGATGCCTTTTCACTGAGGGGAGATTCAGGCTCCAGACCAATAGTCGTTGTCTGACCAGATGAACATCCACTGAATAAATTAAATCGTTCATTCCCAACTTGCCTTTCCTCAAAGAACTTGTAGGACCCCAGAACCTTTACAATTAATTCCCACATTTCAGTTGGAATGAAATGAAAGTAGCAAACCTAGTATAAAAAACTATTCAATTTGAAGTTCAAAAGTGATACATTTCACTTTCATATATTCATGTCGTTACTGAAAACATAGCTTGGGGATTAAGAAAATAATGCCAAAGTCAAAGAACGACAAGACAGAAACCTCATCAATGATATGTTGTTAATAGAAGTCTGTACACTTCCACCAGCTGCTGCAGCAACACGTTGCAGATCCTCCTCCTCAGTTACACGACCAGCACAGAAAATACCTCGGTCTGCAAAATACTGCAAAGAGAAAACCAACATGATATTTTCACTTGACATGACACCTATCCTTTGCACATTTTTAGGATGATTACAAATCTACCTCTTGGTTGTTCTATTAACTTGGAAAATTAGCTAAATATTTCAATCCTGATTTAGTTTACCTCGTTTATCAGCAATCATAAAATGATAAATAAATAAATAAATGTTAATTTGCTTGACATTCAATTTGACATTCTAATATGACATTAATAATCAATTAGTTACACACTTGGAAAAAAAAAAAGAAAAAAACAAACACCATGACCTTCTCAAATGTTGATTTGACATTCAAATTAACTTACCAGCAATATCATGATTCTCATGGACTTCTGAATCCGTCACCCACAGGACATCACCAGAAAATATATTCATGTCAACTAAAGTAGCTGATTCCCCATCAATTACCCGGGAACCTTTATGAAGTGTCTGATTCTCCTTGACAACCTGGAGATATTACCAAGTTAATAAGGTCTTAATAAGGATAAACTATAAACTTTCCATACCATATAAAATAATAGACCAAACTTCTTGGATTTTAACATAAAGACATCAAATGTCAAAGGGCACAACCGCACAAAGTCTGGGTTCAAAAAGGAAGTGAAACAAAATTGTAAGATTGCCAAGCAATATAGAGAAATCATTCTGGGGTCTGGTTCAAAAAAATGCTTTTAGCTTACACATGTATAATAAATGTATATAAATATAAAATATTAAACTTATTCAATTATAACTTTATATAATTGTAAATAATATCCATATAGATGCACGAGTATATACATAAAATAACTTTTAATCGGATCAGATGGAAATTCTATCATCCGATTCAGGATAGTAGGATTCAGTGCCAAATTGGGTATTGGACTTTTGAAGTCTTTTTTTTTTTCTTGATAACTGGATTTCTAAACTTTTGAAGTCCATTAACAGCCCTCTTTATATATCCTTTCCATTTGGATCCCCTCTTTAAATATCTTTTCCTATTGGAATTTTTTGAATTAACCCTTTTATGTTGTCCAAAATATTTTTCCTGCCATGAAGGGAGAAATGATTTTTGTGAAGCTGGATTCACTGCAGAGGAAAAATTGAATGAAGATCAAGTGAAAAAAAAAAAAAACTGTGACCATTGGATTTAATAATGTGAAACTTGTTTATTGGATATTGGAGATTTGTAGTTATCTGGATAACTTTGTCAGCAATATAACATTATCTAGAATCTTTCAAATTGCATATGAAATAACCATGCATTCCCAAGATGAAAGGAAAAAAGAATTCTATCCTGAATTAATAGTTTCGTGGTCTGAATATCAAGTCAATATGGGAAGAAAAAATCCAAGTTGCTGCATTTAAAGTTTAAAGATTCTTGATGAGAGGAAAGTAATGCAGCTTTTAATAAAGCTGCATCCACACAATGAGATGGTCAAAGACAAATTTCTTAACAAGGCACCCTTTTGATATGCATACAATTCTTCGGAAGCTAGAAGCCCAGAGCCAACATTCAGCCAATTTTAATATCTTCATCCAAACTATGAAGTGATCAAATTTTCTTCTATGTAGTTTGTTTTCTGTTTTTTCCTTCTATAACTTTCTTTTTAATGGATCTTTCCTAATGTGCCAAATACCTGAAACTCTTAAAGAAACTTCTAAGAATAACTTCAAAATTATACAAGTTACAATTTTCAATTCAACTAGACAACCCAACTACTAGAAGTAATTTCCAACAAAATACCTTCTATACCAAATAAGGCTTTGGTATAGAAACCAAGGACACTCAAGATTAAAGTTTCATACAAAGGACCATAAGCAGTCCGGATTGCTAATCAGCAGCAGATTACTGACCAGATGATTTTAGGAGATTCCAAGAATGCTATAAATTGGGTTAAGTATAGGGAATCCTCCCCTTGGAAGATATCTCACCTACTTAAAATCCACAACATCACCTATACACATAGCTTCAGATGGGTTCCAAGAGAGCTGAATCAATTGGCACTAGGGGTGTCAATCGGCTTTTGGGTTGGATCCAATTCGATCCAAACCTTATCAAATAGGATTTGGACGGTCTGTATAATTATTGGATTTGGTTAATCCAAAATAAATTTGTCCATATTGTTATTGGTCCAAATTGGACCTAAACCAAATTTCCAATAACCCAATCATGAGGCCAAACCCTTATCCAATTTGAAATCAATCAAAACTGAACCCAGCATAAAATCACTTTTATGAAAGCACTTTTATAAAAGTAATTTTATGAAAAGTACTTTTATAAAAGTAATTTTATGAAAAGTACTTTTATAAAAGTACTTTTATAAAATCACTTTTACAAAAATACTTTTACGAAAGCACTTTTACAAAAGTGCTTTTATGAAAGCACTTTTATAGAAGTAGTTTTATAAAAGTACTTTTATGAAAACACTTTAATAAAAGCTCTTTTGCAAAAGTACTTCTACATGAAAACACTTTTATAGAAGAACTTTTATAGAAGTACTTTTATGAAAGAACCTTCATGGAAGTACTTTTATAAAAGTACTTTTATGAAAGCACTTTTATGGAAGTACTTTTATAAAAGCATTTTTACGAAAGCACTTTTATGAAAGTATATTTATAAAAGCACTTTTACAAAAGCACTTTTATGAAAGAACATTTACGAAAGTACTTTTATAAAAGCACTTATACAAAAGTACTTTTATAAAAGTAGTTTTATGAAAGTATTTTTACAAAAGCACTTATACAAAAGTACATTTATAAAAGCACTTATACGAAAATACTTTTATAAAAGCACTTCTATGTAAGTAACGAAAGTACTTTCATTAAAGTACTTTTACAAAAGCACTTTTATCAAAGTACTTTTATGAAAGCACTTTTACAAAAGTGTTTTTTCAATGTCAGGGTATATTTTTGTAATTTTTCAGATTTCTTCATTTTCATATATTTTTGTAATTTTTATATGTTATGTTTTTTTATATATAATTTTTGATATTTCATTCGGTTTGGATTGGATCCAATCCAGTCCATTTACATTTTAGTGAATTGGATTGGATTTGGTTTGTATTAGATTTGGACTGGATTGGGTCCAGTCCATTTGTAAATGGACTCACATTGAACTGGATCAGGGTGAACCAAATCCAATCCAATTAACACCTCTAGTTGGCACTTGGCAGATAGTTTACCTAGATCTGGTTGGGAAGGGATATTTTGTATAGTGCACATATATTGCCATTTTAATTGTTTAGACCATCTTTTGTTTACATGGCCCTTTCTTTGTACATCTTCTCATGTCAAGGTATTGACATTTTCCTTGTTTGTTGCAAAAGCTTTTTAATACTTATATTGACCCTATCAGAGATGACAAAAGAGTGTGGCTAGGTGGGAAGTTTTCTATTTGTACTTGTTTTAAAGCAATTCAATATTGTAGACTTTCAACATTACCTCTGGAATAGTCTTAATAATAGGAAGGCTGGATTCAGATTCATCATTTGCTTCATCATGAGACATGCTCAGATTTTCATCTAAAACTAGTACATCTTTGTAAGACCCAGTTAATTTGTTTGCCACACAGTTAGGGTACTCAATTTTGGCATATATACCTTTCTCCTTAGCATAGTTCCACTCTTCACAAAAAGAATTTCCAGTCATCCTTTGTAATAATGGTTAAACCATCTATCTAGAATCAAATAGAAAACAAAAGTCAACTAAAATGCATCTTCAATCAAAATAGTAACACAAAAGCCATATCAGTACAAAAATCAAACAGTAAAATACTAGACATTTACCAATCAACCAATATCACAAAAGTGGTAAACAATCAGGTGGTATTGACCAAAATTCACAGGGTTTTGATTGATCAAATCTCTTCTAGTAGCGCGTCTTTACAGCAACATGGTACCTATGTACCTATGTAAACTGGTCAATGTATCCAGTACCCTCCAAGACCCAAGATAACAAGGACCAATTTTGGTTAATGATCTCATCCTTCTTTGTTAACCTTTTTACATGATTATACACTAATGGTCATATCAAACCTTTTTTTCTCATAATCATTAGAATATATGGTATTCAAAGGCAATAGGCACTTTACCTATCAAAAGAAAAGATAGAAAACTTGAACAAATCATTTAACACAAAAAAAGTTATTTATTATAAGCATCTTAAATAAATTATTGAATAAAAAATCCAATTGTTCTCTTGCAAGACGGGGTAATTCAAAAGAAAACAAGTGATCCAATGACATCTCATGCTCCTAATGCAAATCCACTTAAAAAATTGTTTCAATCTGCAATAGAAGAATGATAGATATTAAAATTAATATTGAAATATTTTATTCAAAGGATACGAATAGTAAAAGATTCTTACAAATCCATAAAACCAAGTAATGGGTACACCAACAACACTTTCAATTGTTTTGTAACGTCCATGTGGACGTACTAGAAGTGCATCATTGAGGATAGGAATGTCGATCACAACCTTAACCCATCCTGGACCAAGTCAGATACCACTCCTATAGTTGCTTCTACTACAGATGCAAACATCCCTTGATGACTAGTCAACAAATAACATTTTGTACTTTCCTACAAAGGCAATTCAATGGTTACCAAATGTCTTTGTATTATTTTTAAAATTAATGTATGAGATAAAAAATAACACTTACAGTTAAATTCTATAAATCATTGTTATGGTTGGCACTAAATTGGTGGTAAAAGGGGCTTTGAAAAGCATGAGGTGAAGAGTGGTTTGGAAACTGAGATGATTCGCCTTGGGAGCCCTTATTTATAAATAATGAACACAAATATCAAATTAGTCCATAATAACATTTAGACTATATATATATAAACAAACTATTACCTGTCTATTAGCCAATCTAGCCTCCATTTCATTCAGTTGAGCTCGTAATTCCCTATTTTCCTTAATCAATTTATTTGCACGCTCTTCAGCTGCCTTTTGCCCTTCTTGTGTAATTCTTGTTTGTTCTTCATTCCTGTCATCAGGGACCATTGAACCTAGTTGCGGTTGGACCCAACCTTAGTCCACGCACTCGTCCATGATGCTTTAGGCCCATGACACAAGCATATATGTCATTCAGTCCATTATCCTCTCCTTGATCTTTTGGATCTTGTGATATATAATTTTGCATTTGTTCTTTAAATAGAATACAAAAATTGAAAGCATTAGAAGACCATCCATTAATATTAATAATGATTTAACATGTCATTAAATTATAAGATTCAATGTTTAAAATATGATTACCATTATATCAGTAGATTGTGGATCAACAGGTACACCATCTTTTTTCCTATGAGTTGAAAAAAATACCTCTACGCGTGATATTTCTTTATTCCTTTGCTTTCGTTGTTATCAAAAAAATTATATACATTGTCACTCTTAACACACAAAAGATATAAATATAACAATAAACTTATTAAATCAAATAACACGATTACCAATTCTTCCCAAATCCTTGCATAACTCTTTGCACCAGCAATGTGCTTTAATCTCTACTTGGAGCGATTAGCTTTATTGGTTGTAGCTTGTACCTTTGTATGAAACCTAAAGTCATTTATGTTAACTCCTTTATATCTCTTTGCAGTTATGCATGGGCCACTTAGCCAACCATTTCAAACTGTTCAAAAATTGTTTCTTTCCCTCAATACGCAATGTCATTATGTGTATAAAATTTAAAAGATATCTTATCAGAAACATGATAGTGGATTAATATCAAATATTTCCCAAAAGGAAATTCAAAGTATACATTACTAACATGGTTCATAAACTAGTTAAGAAATTCCTTATCGTGGATTCTTTGCACAATAATGTGGTCGTGATCTAGGGTTCTCTCCACGAATTTTTCAAGCTGTTTCCTACAATTGTATAGAATTGTAAGCATGAGTTGTGGTTATAATTGAGCATTATTCAATCAGAAATCTCAAGCATACAACCTAGTTAACTTACTTAATATATGGGCCAACACCATCATAATTGCCTAGCACATAAAAGTGTTCTTTCATTAGTGTTTCCTTATCTAGTTGAACATGAGGGCGACTTCCTATGCCATGGCATATGCCTGAGAAGATTTTAAATTGTTCATCAATTCACGAAGCCCATCCTCTTTATTTCTTATTGGCCTATTTAGCCTAATTTCAACACCTTGAAGGTATCTAGAAGAAAGGTCATGCACTCATCCACTATGTACCCCTCGGCTATACATCCTTTTGGCCTACCTTTATTTTGTACATATGACTTCAATGTACGAAAATACCTATCCATGAAAAATGAATGAATAAAAATGATTTAATCAATAGATCAATAAAATAGATAATGTTCAAAATTGAATATAATTAGCATAGCCCTCTATTGGATACATCCAACAATACTGAATTGGTCCGGTTAGCCTAGCCTCTTCTATTAGATGGATGGGCAAATGTACCATTATGTCAAAAAATGGAGGTGGAAAAATAATTTCTAATTGACAAAGTACTATTACAATATTGGATTTTAGGCTAACAAAGTCATAACCCTTCACAATTGTTGAATACAAGTCCTTAAAGAACTTGCATAGTTCAACCAAAATAAAATTCACATTCTTTGGTAACACCCTTTATATGGCTATGGGAAAAGTTTAAAGTATCGGAAATGTAATGTGTATCAAAGAGACAATTTTAAGAGATGTATCGATATATACTTAAGATACGCATGGATACGGACGAAAAATTAAAATACGCATGGATACACTAAGAAACTCATATAAATCCTAAAAATCTATGTTAATTACAATAAATATGAGTTTTATATCACTATAAATAAGCTATTTAAACATAAAAATCCATATTTTAGTGATTTATACAAAGTGTGAAATATTGAAACATAATTGAAAACTATTGAAAAATGATGAAATAATTAAAATGTGTGTGTATGCATACATACCATAATATTTAAAGAATCAATATAATTTGTATTAATATTTAGCATTTTTTAGAAAATATGACTGATTGGCCTATTGGACTAGTTGGACGATGACTAGATTGGGTTAAAAAATTGCCAAAATTGCCGACCCGATTAGTCAAACTTGAAAACTAGAAAATCAGTCATGGTTTTAAAAAAACAACTGATTTTTTAAGTTGTTTTAGCACATTAATGCAAACTTCTAAAGGCCATAACATTTTATTGAGATGTCCTATTGCGATGACCTTTGTTTTTATTTTGGATAACTTTTCGATATAGGTGCCTTCTAAAAAAATGAAATTAAAATAAAAAAATATATATATATATATATATTATAAAAGAATACAATTATATAATTTAAATATATTAGAATCCAATATAGAATTTATAATATTGTATATACGTATAATATATATATATATATATATTATAATATATTATGTCATCACAATTTAACATCGGTTGAACCTCTAACCTATGAACTCCCTTTTTTGGGTTGATGTCCAGCCTGGTTCTCTAAACATTGATTATTTATTATATATTTTAATGATGAATTTTAGCTTTTATTGGTAGTCATCTACTAACAAGCGAATTTAATTAAGAATTAAAATACAAATTTATATGATAGACACTTATGGTATGGCATAGTGGTGGACTTGTAGTTATTACAAACAAATGACTAAGGTTCAAATCCTTCTGTCTTCTATTTGTGATTTTTAATAGGCAAGTTCGTGGCATGTCAAATTCAAATTCGAATTTAAACATTGACTTAAATGCACTATTCAATTCGTCTTTGATAGCGTATTATTAAATGTGATAATTAATTAAGAGTCATTAAATTTGAATTTGAAAAGTTACTAATATTAAGAGAGGAGGGAAAATAAATTTGAATTAAGATCATTAAATTCGAATTTGAATTTCGAGTTGTATCATATAGTGTATTGGACTATATCAGGATTGTATCGATCGATACATACAGTGTATCGGACTGTATCGGTCGTGTATTATATCTTCAAGCACTTGACAAAAAATGGTTTTTTCTTTCTTATTCAATGTGTAGGATGTTGCAAGTAGATAGGTTCTATCAGATCAAGAACCAAACTTAGGATGAAGTTCTTCTCTTATGCCCATATGTTGTAAGTCTTGACGAGTTTTTAAGTTGTCTTTTGTCTTCCCTTCAGTTTTCAATAGTGTCCTCAATAAACTATTACATATATTCTTCTCTATGTGTATCACGTCCAAATTGTGTCGCAACAGGAGATCTTTTCAATAAGGCAAATTAAAAAAAATGCTTTTCTTCCATTTATGCTTATCATCATTATAATTATCATATTTAGACTTGTTCCCACGTTTTCTCTTTCTTCCACCACTGGATTCATTTCCCTTACCAAGTGTGTACTCTAATCCTTGCACATCATCTATCATTTGCTTCCCTGTTAATCTTATAGGTGTTAATCTCCACTCTTCATTACCATCAAATAATGATTTATCATGTCGAAACCTATGACTTTTATCTAAGAATGTATGATGACCCATATAACAAAACTTGTGCCAACTTTTCAACTTTAGTGAACAAGTATCCCTCTTACACATAGGGCATGCCAATTTACCATTAGTAGACCACCCTGACAAATTAGCATAAGCAGGGAAATCGTTGATTGTCCAAAGGATAACTACACACAATGGAAATAACTCTTTCTTTAATGCATCATGTGTCAGTACACCATTTTCCCATAAATCAATAAGATCTTCCACCAATGGCTGTGAGTATATGTCAATATCATTACTTGGTGCATGTAGTCCAAGAATCAATAAGGACAACATCATATATGGTTGCTTCATACACATCCAAGGGGGTAGATTATAAATGACTAGCACAATAGGCCAAATGCTATAAGACGTAGACATTGATCCAAATGGGCAAAAGCCATCACTTGCTAACCCAAGTCTCACATTACATGTATCTAATGCAAGTGATAGGTGTTTTTCGTCAAAAGTTTTTTAAGCTAGAGAATCAGTAGGATGCCTTAATGTCTCATCTTTCTTACGTCCCTCTTCATGCCATCTCATTGATGAAAATGTTTTGGATGAAATAAATAACCTTTGTAACCTTAGTCACAAAGGAAAGTAGCGTAAAACCTTTGCTAGAATCTTGCCCTTACGTTTAGATGAAGATGCCTCATTGCCATTATTTATGTTGGAAGAATCGTCTCATCAAAAGTAACCACAAACCTTACAAGTATTTTTGTGTTCATCCCCCCTTCCAATATAACATGCAATCATTGGGGCATGCATGAATGTTAGTATAGTCAAAACCTAATTGCCTTATGGTCTTCTTTGTTTCATAGTATGAACTCAGCAACACCTCACCTTCTGATAGAGCCTCTTTCAATAGTTCAAGTAACATGGTAAATGATTTGTCAAACCACCTCCAAAGACACTTAATCTGAAATAACCTCACTATAGATGAAAATTTTGCGATTTTTTTACAACTCGGGTACAAATCTTGTTCAACATCACCTAACAATTTGTAATATTCTTCAACTGTTGTATTAAAACCTACCATTGCATATGCATCTGGTCCCTCAGTTTCTTCATTCACTTGTTCATACACTTAGTCTGATATTCCAAATGCATCCCACAACATTTCGTGCATATCAACATCCATATTTGGTGCATTATTGCTAATATAATTCCTCTTCTTTTCCCCATGATCAGTCCAATTAGTATAACTTGGCATTATCCCATTCCAAAATAAATGGGCCAAGTATTCATCTTTATCTTCTAATGAAGCTTTGACACATTTTTGGCATGGCCACAATATCCTACCATCACGAAATCCATTAATAGCAACAAATTCAATAAATTTCTGCTCTCCTTTAATATATGTTGGATCATCCCTACACAATGCATTAAATCCCAAAAAATATATTACCAAACCAAATATATATACCAAAACCTATACCTTGGAAGATTAAGCCAATTCCTATCCATTTTATATGACTGATTCTCCAAAGATGACCAGTGCAATAGAAACTTCCTAATTTAACTGATAATGGTTAGATCATTGAAATGTGTTTTATCTTTGTAAGATAGTGTTTGGTATGCTTGAGACAATCATTTGAACCAAGAAACTCAAACACGAAATGAATGCTTATGATGAGATCAAGAATTAAAAAGTTATACATAAGCACAATTAC